GATAATGATCCTCCTTTTACCTATCGTCGATTTCTGGATGCCAGTATTGCTATTCACTTGATAGTTTGTCAAGATATAAGCGCCACCTTCTTCGATATCACCGATGATTTTTTGGATATTGACAGGTTGAATTATGCCAGTAATTCATCCTCCCTAAAACATTGCATAATGAATACTTTAATAAATAAATTATAAAAGATGTTGCATAAAATGATGCATTTAAATAATACTAAATGAATATATTACCTCAAAATCATAAAAGATAATCTCAAGAACATTTCGGTAATTGTGTACGTCTTCAACTCGTTGGAACATCCTAATTATGCGTAGCTTGATTGGTGGCTTATTGGATCTTTTGATATCCTTGATTACTCCAAAATCCGAAGCCATTTTCAATGGTGATGTAAAAGCTTGTAGAAAAAATTGTTTTGTGGGATATATTGGATGTCGAATACTTTTTGTTCAACGTTGGTGATGTTTATATAGTCATGTGTATGTGCCATATGTCTAGGAAATAAAAAAATATTTACGTAAGGTATTTAATATGATCCGATCCGATTTTTTTTTATTATGATTATGATTGACTTCTAAAAATATGTGTTATCAGTTTTGTTAAAAAAATAAAAAAAAAATGTGGAATGTGATTCACTTGTGAGGGACGAACGAATATTTAGAAGATTATGTAGCCAAAAATAATGGAGTTTGTTACAATGAAATTTGGTAAGACTTTTTGGATAGATTGAAAAATAATATTTTTATTTTGATCTATTTATTTGGACAAATCCAAAACTTTAATTTACAAAATTATAATATTTAATTTTTTGAAACGTGTAAAATTTTCTAAGATAACTTCTATAAAACAAAATGTGATCAAATCATAATTGATTTTTATGCCTCAATATTCCAAATCAAACCTTACAAATATGGTATGCTTATTTACTATTAATATTTTATTTTTTCAAACGTCTGATTCTCTTAGGTTTATATGAAACAAAGTTCAATCAAATCAAAATTGATTTTTATGCCCACATTAAAACTTTATCAATATGATATATTTATTTTATTTATTTATTTTTTTTCAAATCCACGACTCAAATTTTCGAGAGAGAGAAAAAAAAGGAAACAAAATCTTATCAAACCTTATCAAATTTTCGAGAGAGGAAAAAAAACAAAAAAATTGGAAACAAAATCTTATCAAACCTTATCAATAATGAAGATTCGTGTTTCCACGAAAAGCTAACAAAATCCCGTGGTTACCAAAATCTTATCAAATTAATTAAGAAAATCCCATTAAATTGGTTAACAATATTGGAACGCATTTTGTTAGGAAAGATTTACGTAATTTATCTATCGAATTAATATCATATTAACGTGTGGGCCCAGTGATATTAATTTAGTATAGCATCCATTATCTCAGAATAATTATTTGTTTGATTTACAACATTAATTTGAATGGAAAAAAATCCGTAATTGTTGAGATATCTCAATTCAAAATCTCAATTTTTTGGCATAAGAATTTTCAAATTTGTTACCAATAAAAATAGATTCCTATGGGATTAATATTTAAATGTATTAAATTTTGGTATAAGAATCTCCAAATTTGTTACCATAAGGATCTTCAATTTGTTACCATAAGAAACCCATAAAAATCTCCTATGGATTGGAGTTTATCCATATTTAGTATAGCATCCATTATTCTCGGAATAATTTTTTGTTTGATTTACATCATGAATTTGAAGGGGAAAAAATCCGAAATTGTTAGGATATCTTAATTCAGAATCTCACTTTTTTGGCATAAAAATCTCAATTTGTTACCGTAAGAATTCCATAGAAATCTCCTATGGGATTGGAGTTTATCAATAGTTGGTATAACATCCATTATCTTTGGAATAAATCTTTGTTTGATTTACAACATTAATTTGAATAGGAAAAAAATCCATAATTGTTGGAATATCTCAATTCAAAATCTCAATTTTTTGGCATAACAATCTGTAAATTTATTACCAATAAAAGTAGATTCCTATGAATTAATATTTAAAATGAATTAAATTTTGGTATAGGAATCTCCAAATTTGTTACCATAAAAATCTCCAAATTTGTTACCATAAAAAGCTACTTTTTTGCTACATGTGTTTTTTTTCGAAATTTCCATTAATAGTAAGTCAAACTATTTATTTTTTTAGTCAAACTTACTATAAAAGTATTTTTCCAACAACCTATTTATATTACTATAGATATAGATTTAGTTTTATTTAATTTAGACACCTTAAATTATACATATATACATGTATATATATTTTTCTAAATAAATGCTCTTCATATATGGCTTCTTAGTTCAAAGCCCTAATTAGTCAGGGTATTATACCGAGTAAACTATACGAAACTCCCTACATTTACCGAAATTGACTTAATAATGTGTGAATAGTGGTGATAAATCTATAGCTAATTAACTTGACTTTGTATATTTGAATGATAAAATTAGAAGGGTAAAAATCATAATTTTGAAAATCGTACCGAATGGTCAGAGAACCAGCCGACGGTTTAAATATGTTTCTTTGAGTATAAATAACAAATATAAATTTAAATCTATTATATATATAAATTATTATATTACTTAGTTTAGGCATTTGAATATTTTAATTTATCAAAACATTATATTAATGATAATTTTATATATAATATTTACTGTTTCAATTACTATATATAATTAAAAATATTGTTAATTAAATACTGATCTAACCGGTTAAATCACTCGTCTTACCTATGAAGCTATTCAATCAGAAGTTCGACCGGTTCAATTATCTATCAAATTATGAGAGTTCGCTAAAAATGCTCATCATTCTACTTGTAAGTTATGAAAAAGGGAAATTTTTAATATATATATATATATATTAAATTGCAAAATAGGTGCGTCAACTATTAGAAAGTGCAAACGTTATTTAAATATACACTATTTATTTTTATTTTTGAAAATTACAAGATACATGGAAACTCAGTTTGTGCTTTCAGTCGCAAAAGTAAGAGCCTGACTTTTGAGACAGAACGGTGCTACATGATATTAATTTTTAAGACATGAGATATTTTTTCTTACATTTTCTTTATTTCTTTCTTTTTCACCAAAAGTAATAATTGTGTAATTTGATTTCAAAGTCAAGGTAAGGCCCATGATGTTTGCTTCTAAAATTTCCTGGAAATTACAATACCTATGAGCATATAAAACTATAAAAGGAAAACAAACAACATGGGACCGACCATTACAATTTAGAAGATCAACATACTTCCAACTAAAGAATGTTATGTAAAGAGAGATATATAATTGAAAATAATATGAAGTCCGAATATGCTCAAAATAATGATTTAGAGGCATATATAAAAGGTTATTAGAACCGGAGAAAAGAGGATGCGGTCCCACTAGGTGAAGCGCACTATAAGAGCATCTTCAATGGCATTTGGATTGTCTCATTTTGTTGCCACATGACACAAGAAAACCTATGTGGCCTAAAAAAATTCTAGAAGCATTTCTAGAAGTAGAAGTGCTTCTAGACAACTTCTATTACATATTATATTATTTATTTAATTTATTTCTTCTTTTCAACCAATTATAAATTTACACATGTCAAATTAAACTATCTTTAACATTAACCATTGGAGACACAATTTTTCAATCTCCTTCTTTCATGCCATGAAACTCAAAATGGACAAGATACCATTGGAGATGTTGTAAGAGGGTGGGTCTAGTTGCACCTTAGTGAGGTTCCATCTCAAAACCAATTGTTGATGGGAGGAGTAGCCCACTAGGCTTATATACTAGACTCATTTTTCCTATATAATCAATGTGAGACAACTCAAAAGTGATATTCCAACAAAGGTGTAATAAGTAAATAAAAATAGTAAATAATAAAAATAATGAAAGGCCTAAAATGAGGGGAATGACTACAGTCCCGTTGATGGAATGATTCTGTCAATGTTTTTAACCGTAGATTCATATGTGGATTAGTATAGTGTACATGGATCTACGCTTAAAATATTTGTGGAATCATTTCATCAATGGTGTAGTCTTTTCCTAAAATGAGTTACAAACTGTGAAATTTGGACACAGAACCACTTAATCCAGAATTAGAATTACGCAGGATTACTTCAATAAGAAACACACTTCCAATAACATATTATAATAGTGATTCCAAGCTCAAAGGCAAAGTCACGTTCGTTTTGATTTGTCCAAACGAACCCTTTTCAAACGATTCTCAACAGCCCAAAAACTAATGGTTTACTTGGATATCAAATATTTCATTTCATACCCAACCTAGTTCAATAATCAATTATTCTCAATATTATCAGTATAATTAAATAATACTATTAATTAATAATTCTTACATATCACATTAATTTTAATTCATTATTCATTCACTTACATAATTTTAATTAGCCATTAATTCACATCATCTCTCTCATACTTTTACACCAAATTAAATTTAGTTATTATTTTTTTAAATATTATTTTAATATAAACTCAAAATCTCACAAACAATAAGTATATCACATTCAAATTAAACCCAGTTAACAGAAAAAATCCGCGAAAATTTTTGTATCTAAACATGCCTTAAATATTAAAAAATATAAAAGAAAACGGAAAAAAGAAACTAAAGAGAGACATAATACATTAGTTAAAAGGAGAAGAAACTTTATACCAATTCAATCCACCAAAATTACTGCCGTCATGCATATACATCAGTGTACATGACGATGACGAGTTGTCTTTCTGTGCATATATATATACACACACATTTCATCATCTTTTCTCATATCAACTCATCTTCATAATCTCTGTGTTATTAAAAAAAAAAAAAAGAAAAACACAAATGACCCTCAAAAACTTTACATGGAGATCATTTTTACCCTCTTGTTTAAACCCGGAAAGCCCTGTTTTCGACTCGAAAAGCCGAATCTCGAACCAAAGCTCTACTTCAAGAATCTCGCTTTCCGACATAAGTGACCCGAGCTCAGCTTTTTGCGCGAGCGATTTGTCCAATTCCAAGCTGGCGTCGAGTCTTCACATCTTCACACTCCTCGAGCTCAAGCTCATGACCAACGAATTCTCGTCCTGCAATTTTCTTGGCGAGGGGGGTTTTGGGCCGGTCTACAAAGGTTTTGCAGATGATAAGTGCAGGCCCGGGATGATGGCCCAGCCCATAGCCGTCAAGTTGCTGGATTCGGGTGGCGATCAGGGCCCGAGAGAATGGCTGGTCTGTAATTNCACTATTAATAAATAATAAACAAATTAGCCAATGATGAGTATTAGTAAGATATGATTTTGGCTAAATTGCATTTTTAGTCTTGTTGGTTTAACGCCATAGTAATTTTAGTTCTAAAATTCTAACATTTAACCTTTTGATCATGTGATTTAATATTTTGCTTATGGTTGAAATTGCAACAAATTTTCAAAATTTATAGATTTTTTATGAGCAATTTCAGTCTTGTAATGTAAAATTTGTTGCGATTTCAGTTTTTTTGAATATTGAAATGAAACAAAATATTAAATTATAGCACTAAAAGGCGAAAAGTTGGAACCTTGAGACTAAAATTGCTATGACGTTAAACCAATAGGATTAAAAATGCATTTTTTGCCCAAAAAAAAAACAAAATAAATAAATAATAATAATAACAAAACATAGTAAATTTATCTTTGTTTTTGTTTGAAATTTGTAGACTGAGATAGTGTTGCTTGGGCAATTGAGGCACCCAAATCTTGTGAAGCTGATTGGATACTGTTGTGAGGATGAGCACAGGCTTCTTGTTTATGAGTATATAGCCAGGGGAAGTTTAGAGAATCACTTATTCAGAAGTAAGCATTTTTTAACCTCCCAAAAAGTTAATAATTTGTGTTTTTGCAACAACTAAATTGAATTCGTTGTACCATGGAGTGTAAAAGAGTAAAAAGCAGAGTTTGATTGTAATGAGATTTTAAATTTTTCAGGGTATACAAGTTCATTGCCATGGCTGATAAGGATGAAGATTGCAGTTGGTGCAGCAAAATGCCTTGCTTTTCTTCATGGACAAGATAAGCCGGTTATATACCGCGATTTCAAGACTTCTAACGTTCTACTCGACTCGGTAAATTTTTTTTCATCTCATTCAATTGAGTTCACATTTTTTTTTACATATTTTACTCACTCAAGTTGAATAATCTATATAATATGTTTTGATCTTGGTTTTTCTAACTTATTTTGTAAATTTATTCATTTGCCAGGATTATAATGCTAAGCTGTCTGATTTTGGGTTGGCAAAAGATGGCCCGGAGGGTGACGATAGTCACGTTTCGACCCGTGTTATGGGCACGCATGGCTATGCGGCTCCCGAGTATCTCATGACAGGTGAAAATTCAAGGATTAATTACATATACCACCCTTGAAATTTAGTCTAATTGCAAAAGGAGCATAGTAAGATTCCAAAAATTCAGTCTAAGTTGCAACACCTNCAAATTTGAATGCAGGAATATTGAAGAATAATATTTATCCTTTTCCTTTTTTTTTTTATTGGCCTCAGGTCATCTAACAACGATGAACGACGTGTACAGCTTTGGAGTTGTGCTGTTGGAGTTACTCACCGGAAAACGGGCCTTGGACAAAACCCGTCCTCCGAGAGAACAAAACCTAGTCGAGTGGGCCAAGCCTTATTTGAAAGACCATCACAAGCTCGACCGGCTAATGGACTCACGGCTCGAAGGCCAGTACTCAACCGAAGGGGCCAAGAGAGCTGCCTCAATAGCCCATCAATGCCTTAGCCACCACCCGAAAAACCGGCCCAACATGAACCGTGTGCTCAAAGCCTTGGAGCCTGTTTTGGGCTATACCGACATCCCAGCTGGACCGTTTGTCTACGTTGCACCGAAGGAAGAGAAAATCAATGAGAAATCGAGTGGGGATAAGGAAAATGAGGATAAGAAGGATATTATTGAAGGAGATCGACAAGAGAAGAAACCGAGAGGTTATAGGCATAAACATCCGATCAGGCCTCGTGCGGTTTATTCGGATACCGAGTTGTATAAGAGTTTGAGGGGTGAAATAAAATCTCAAAGAGATAAAGCAAAGTGAAGGTGATGAAAAATGGGAAGAAGTTTTGATCATATGTCAGGTTGTAAGTTTAGTTTGTTTGTTTTGTTTTGCAACATAAGATGCATAACACACATTTGTTTGTTTGTTTTTTCTTTTTAGTATAAGTTTAGTTTAGTGTATTAAGATGTATTCACCAGCCACGTGTCAAAATCTCGTAACTTTTCAACCAGTGTATGGTATGTTAATCTTCTATTACATATAGTCACTTTCAATTTTAGTTTGTGGACATATTAACTCGTGTCCACCATTAGCGAAAGAGCTGAGATTGTGCACATATTTACTAGTGAGTGCACTACTTTACATAACCTAACTTGAAGAAATTTGAAAGTATTAGTTGAGATAGAATCATAGAAAGTTATGTTAACTTGACCCAACACTTAATACACCTATATATATCTCAAGTTTCAACCAAGAAGATCTAGTTTCAGTGGAAACGGGTTGACCAATTATCCAGAAATTCTGTAGCCTAAAATCTTAGAAAGAGATAGGCTAACATCACAAGAAGGAAGAATGTGAATGTTTTGTTTGTTTCCCTCAGAATTTTTCACCAACCTAACTTGACAAAGATAGCAAGTACAATGAGTGAAATGACTTTTGGAGATATATACACAGTTCATTTGTCATTCCAAAGTGGAAAAAAAAGAGTCATCCAATGAATCTGGGTAAATTACAGTAAGCCCCCTGAACTATACGACTTTTTGCACATTGTTCTCGTAACCTTTCTTTGTTCTTCACTTAAACACTTACTTTTGAATTGTCACAAGGAGCAGANAACATGAAAAGCCAAAAATTAAAAGGGTAGCTCTGGAGGCCAAGTGCAGAATTGTGCAAACTATAAATAAAAGTTTACTGTAATCGAATGAATAATATACTTCTAAATGATTTTTACAGCGAAAGCTGTAGCATAATTTATCTATAAGTAATTCACAAAGCTCGTCTGGAGCATCAAACGTCCCTTGAAGGCACCTTGGAAAAGTTTTCAGGTTCTTACAAAAAAACACTCAGATTTTCCAGTGTAATATATCACGACGACAGATTTTGGGAATATATCGGTAGGATTATAATTTCTTGAACCTTTTTCGTCTCCTTGTACGCTTTCTTGAGCTGTTTTTCTCTGTGTTGTCCTTGCCATAGTTATCACGCAACCAATCTGCGTGATATTTCTCATCGTAAGGAACAACTTTTCCATCAGCACATGGTTCCCCTGTGGAATAAAATTAAAAGAACAAAAGAAAAAAAAAAGTTAATGAGAAAATGAACACAACATGATGGCTTATCAGAGGAAGTCCCGAATTCGATGAGGATAAAATATAAATTTAGCCTCGAATTACTAAACCAGGTGTTTCCAAACATTTCACTTTGAGGTTTATCTTCACTAACAAGTACCATTTCTTTCGGATGCAATTTGTAAATAGAAACACATGCCGAGGGAAAACGCTTCTAGAATAATTAAGTGACTTTGCAAGCCATTAATCGAATGCCGATTGCTGAATGAATGGTAAACAAATTATGGATAGAAAGCAAAGTAGACGCACGATAACTATCACAAACACCTGAAAAACTCAACCAACTGTCACAAGGAAATAAACAAAAAACAATACCTCCATAGCCATTTTCTTTAGAAGACAAATACGAGTCCGGTAAAACCCATTTCACATGAGGAAGAGCTGCAAATCAGAAGAATGTATTGAACAGACTAACTAACAAGAATCCAAATGCATCAAAGACTTGAAAAGAAAAATGAGGCTTCAAAAACATTACATTTGATCTTGTGAATCACATTTTCATCGACTTGGCAGCTGAACGAGTAGTAATACTTTGTCGAGACCGAGTATATTGATTCCATTGCAGCCTTCTCACTTCAAAAAAGGAATATTACATTGACATTAACTCCACAAATATCAAAATTATAATCTTTTCATGAGAATTCAACAGAGAAAATTAATCAACAATGGAAAGCATTTGCAGGGACAGCAAACAAAAATTAGGCCAACTTATATTGCCAATTAACAAGATGAATTGCAAAATTAAATATAGCTTTAGCCTAATTATCAAATAAAATAATAAAACTGAAATACTACATTTCTCCCATGATTTTAATCATTATACAGCTACTCTAACACTTTTTTATCCTCGAGTTCAAAAAATTATAGTACACAAAATTTGTTATCTCAAACATGAATAAGAATTACAAAAGCGATGAACAGTTGTTGAAAAATTTTCACCTTCCTAGGGCCAGAGCCAGAGTGGAGACGTACTGCTGAACTAATTCATCTCTTTGAGGGTAATTTTCAGGTGGTTGCATGACCACGAGCCAGTGCTTGTAGTCGCAGCCGTCGATTAATGAGTCAACTCGCGGCAGCTCGGCGGCTAGGGTTCTCGGCTGCGCGGCGGCGCTTTCCGGATGGCTGAAAAAGAAACGACGGCAAGTGATGTGAAAAGTGGGACCGGCACGACGGAGAAAGCTCGGGAGGTTAACGGCTGCTGAGAAATGTGAGGACGCAGTTGAGAGGACTTTGTGCATCATGGTTTGTACGTTGCTCTCAAGCATTAGTCATTGAATATTGGACAGTGTTCGGAAATCTGATCACGCTCTCGCGGTAGTCATGGGTCCGGGTCCGACCCGACCCGCCCAGTTCCAACGGTCGACCGCAACGGTCAGATTTTCAAAATTGACCGATAGACCCGCCTGACCCGCCGGGCTGACCCGGACCGACGGGTCCTGACCATAAAAAAAAAAAAAAAAAAAGAAAAAAATCGAAAAATTAAAAAAAAATTCAAAAAAAATCTGAAAAAATTCCTATAAATACCCCTTCCCCAAATCAGTTTTTTCCATTTCATTCACAACATCTCTCTCTTTTCTCTACTCTTTTCTAAGCTCTCGAAGTGTTAATTTATAATTTTTGTACTCGATTTTCTATAATCGGTTCGACTCTATATAAATTCGGTCCCGAACTTCGATTCCATTAATATTCACCCTCATTTTGGTTCCAATTTTATAAATTCTTTACATAATACTCTCTCCTTTTTAATTTTACCATTTTTCACCTATCATTTTTAATTTATAAAAACTATTATAGTTATAAAATGTCGAGTTTTCGTGGTGGTGGTCGTGCCGGTGATCGACCACCACAAAAGCGTAAAAATATAGGTGAATCTTCTTCGAGTAGACCTCTATTGTTAGCATCGAGACAAACGGTATACCGGGATGTTTCGGGCCTTGCCGATGACGTTAATCCCGAGACGGTCCAACGCATCTTTCACTCTATTGAAGAAATCAACGAGGGCGTACAATTGGAGGAGGAGAACCAGGAGCAGCCGTATGAAGATGAGTTCGATCCTACTCAATGTGGAGGAACTCAACAACCTCAACGTCAAAGTCCTCAACGGTCCACTCGGACAGCCGGCATCGGCGGCGGTGGTCCGACGAGATCCGAAATATTCGGACGCCACTTCACCAAAGTGCCCGATGAGAAAAAAGGTGATAAACATTTGCAATTATTGTCCAGCCAACTCTAAGAAAAAGTACGCTTTCAAAACCGACGATGGGTACGCAACGCTGACACGCCACATACAACGTCATCATCCGGCCGAAATGGGGATTCCAAAGACCCAAACACAATTCTCGGCCTCGGGATCGAGTAGCCATATATCCACAGGTATGTCTTCTACTTTATTTCAATACTCACATGAAAACCATAGAAAACAACTAGCTGAATTTGTTTGTGCTTCGTCTCTTTCTTTCGATTTTGGTGATTCTGATTTATATGAAAATTTTGTTCAAGTGGCTTTAAACCCGGCTGCGTCTCGGGTTCCACGTACTATGCTCACTCGTGATATTCATAAAATTGTGAGTGAGAAAAAATTAATTTTGGCGCAAACTGTTGAAGCTTTAAACCAAAAAAATTCTATTTGTTGTGACATTTGGTCCGATCATTGGCAAAATAATTTTTATATGGGAATTACTTGTCATTGGATAGATGATAGTTTTATGTTACAAAAACGTTTAATTGCTTATACGGGATTTCCTAATAATCACACTGCTTCTAATATCGCTCATTTAATTTCACGTGTCTTGAATAGTTATAAGATTGACAAAAATCTTTTTTCCATTTCTTTTGATAATGCTAGTGTTAATATTATATCTATACCTGAGCTTAAGGAAATTTGTCGTCCTCTTTGTGGGGATTTTTTTTTTTTCATATTCGGTGTACTTATCATATCATTAATCTTTGTGTTCAAGCGGGTTATCATGCTTTGAGAGAGACGGTCATCCCCATTAGAAATGCCGTTACTTATTTACATAAACGTCCGCAAGAAATGAAAAAATGGGGAAAGTATTGTAAAGAGCTAGGTTTTACACCTAAGAAATTCCAACCGGACGTTCCTACCTGTTGGAACTCAACTTATAAAATGTTATTGAAAACGTATAAATTTTCTCATCAATTTGAAGAATTTTTTCGTAATCCTCAACGTAAGGATTGTGATGTCACAGTTACCACCCAAGATTGGGTAAATTGCCACACACTTATGCAATTTTTAGAAAAATTTCAGGATATTACTAACGTACTTTCTGGTGTTTACTATCCTACTGCACAACTTTTTGTAAGTCAATGTGTAGCTATAATATGGGGTTTTAGGGATATTTTTACTAGTGATCCTAACTTACATTGCGAACTTGTAAGAGATATGTTAAGAAAATGGTTAAAATATTATTTTTTCATTCCCGATATATTTTTAATTGCAACTTTGTTAGATCCATCATTACGTGAAAATGGCTTGCTCTACCAACTTAACACATATTATGATATTATGTATCAACTCCCACTTCCCAGTTACATTGATGTCCCGGCTATCAGTGTAAGACCTAACCCACGGCAACTCGTCGAGCAAGCCAAATTTTTATTGTATGAATTGTTTAGGGAAACAACAATCCGACTCGGGAAAAATTCGGCATCATTTATTTCAACTGCTTCTGTGCCTTCTTCTGATGGACAACGGGAACAAACAACGAAATTAGCCCGAAACTTTGATGAGTGGTGGGATGACTTTAATCCCTACAATAATGCTAAGATAAAAAAGGCAAAGGATACTGGATACAGTGAGCTCGATCATTACCTCAAGGCAAATTTGATGCTTACGATTGCTCGTGAACCAGTTCCGCCACAACAATTCGACGTCTTGGATTGGTGGTCAAAGATGTCTCCCATTTATCCAATTCTATGCTTCATGGCCAAGGAGATTTTCGCTGTTCCGGCATCAACAGTGGCGGTTGAACAACCATTCAGCGATGGAGGATATACGCTAGACGCACGACGATCGAGGTTGAAGCCACAAAACCTGGAGGCTCAAATGCTGCTAAGTGATTGGAAGAACGCCGAAATGAGGACACAAAAGGCCATGCTAATTGTCGAAGACAGCGAAGATGATGAGTCATCCGATTTTACTGCTAGTACTAGTGGAACCGCCGAAAATGAAGATGACTACGACTATGAGGACTAGATAATTGGATCAATCTCGTCTGCCATCTACTTCAAGGTAAGTATAGTAAGAGAACTACGAGGACTTTGATTCCCGAAGTAAGGGATACGTAGGCAACTTAATTGACATACTATAAGTTACAATATCATTTTGTAACCCAAAATTTTTTTCAACTTAATTGATATTTTAACATATAGTATGTCAACTAAGTCCAAGTCCAA